AGCTGCAGGCCGAGGCGCTGCCTGCCTGCCTGGCAGCTCAGCTCCCTGTCGGGCTGCAGGTGAGGCGCGAGGTGCGGCTGTGGCTGTGAGCGTGCTGACGGCGAGGCGTTCCCCGCCGAGCTCAAAGCATGGGGCGAACGGTTCACTTGGTTTCAGGTCCACTTCACGTTTGCTCCTTGAACGTTCTGGCGTTTTGTCACGTCACAGCCACAGCTGTCAGTTTTACTGTATTTCTGCATAAATGTGACGGAGCAACGCAAATTGGATCTGAAAAGTGCGGCAGACGTTTCTTGAGAGTCTTTTTAATACCAGGTTTCACAGCAATGATTATGGCTAATATGTCATTTTTTGGGGTGTTTTTTTTTCTTTTTTTCTTTTTTTATAAAATAACTCAGATTGTCAGATTGCAGGAAGAGCATCCATGATTTAGATCTGTAGTTTGACTGAACCATTGCAGGATGATGATGTTTATTGTGGTTTTGCTGGATGGTTGCAGTCACTGTCCTGTTGGATGGTGACCTGTGCTCCATTCACTCCCTCCTCTATGTACCTGTACTTAGCTCCACTCGTCTTTTCATTCACAGTTTGCTCAGCAGTGAATTTCTTGCTTGTCTGTAACTATAAACTGTTTTGCAGAGGATTGCAGCATTTGCTCCACACCTTATTGTGATTTGCCGCAACTTAGAGTGAAATGTGATTCCAGCAAGTCACATTTGACATTAAAGCAAAAGTACTGTTCAGCTCAGCACACTACAGCATTTTGCATGTGGGGAAAAAACAGCAACTCCTATCTCATCTTGCCAAAGCACTCCTTTCACATGTTTGCATCTTATTGCAAACTGCAAAGCAACTTTCAGCAATGGCCTAAAGATTGCTTGCATGTAAAGATTGCTTATCCTGTCCTCCACTGTGGATCTCTGCAGCTCCTCCAGAGGCACCATTTGATTTCAATGGAGTATCATGACCTAAACTTACCCTCAACTTTTTATATCAATATTAAATGACACCCTATTGAGAGGTTAGGACTATTTTACCACTTGACTGGTTCCTGAAAGCAACATGTTGCATTTTTATTTGAGGGTAGCGGAGTAAGAGATTTGTAATAAAAAGAATTTTAAGATAAATGTGCATCAGTGTCCTTTCCCATTGATATGATTACTCAATGCTTTGCGCTCTTGCGTAACATCAGGTTCCAAGAAAGATGAATAAATTGAAATTTGTGGTTGTAACATGGCAAAATGTGGAAAACGTTCAGAGGGAGTACGCTTACATGCTGTATATGAAATAATTATTGATAACTAGTGATTAGAGTTGTTGGACTGTAAAAAAAAAAAAAGCATCAAACTTTTGTGCAACTTGCTTTTTCTTTTGCACAGAGAGAAGCCGATGTAAACTCAGCTGCCTCCCAGCTCCGTTCTCATTACACGCCTGCTGTTGTCCTGCCGCGCCTGCTTTCCCTCAGCTCGTCCCCTCCGTCTTCTCACATCAGTGTTCAGAGAGAGTCCTGTTTGCACACCGCCGGTCAGGTAAGGCTCCGTTTGTAGAGGCTAATGTATCATGATCCATGTTCTTGGGAGCACGGAGTCAGCAAAACAACTTGGAGTTGATTTTCTTCTTTTTTTTTTTTTTTCTTGTGCGCTCCGAGAGGCAGAAAAAGCAGTCAAACATTACGAACATAAACGTGGGCCTGTTTCCCTTTGAGCCCCCGGGATCCCTCCATGTTTACTTTGCATGTTCTGTGTTGGTTATCCAACACAGAACATGCAACGTTTGTGCTGCGCTACCACTTTAGTACCTCTATGTGGTGCTGTGGCTCCACAACTAATGCTGTTCAACATTTGCAACAGAAAGGCACACAATCCTGATGAATCGATAAAAATCTGCCAAGCGTATGAAAGCAGGGGTCCTGGAAAATTAGAGATTCACAGAACTCCTTTAAGAGCCATTTGCTTCGAGACAAATGGAAACGAAAAGGAAACGTTCGGCTTCCTTTCGAACGTTTCCGTCTCTCTTTCTTCTTCTTCTTCCTGCAGTTTTCTCCTGTGTTGGTGTCTTCTGATGGATGAATATGTCCACTACTAATAATATCGCCCAGGCCAGGAAACTGGTGGAGCAGCTGAGGATCGAGGCAGGAATTGAACGCATTAAGGTGATAATATTGGTCATCTGCTTTGTGTGGATCATATATTTCCTCTCTTGTGTTCCTATTTTTTTTTTAATGTGCCACTATGGCAATTGAGCTTTAGTGCTAAAGCTTAATTGTGTCTTTTATCTATCTATACTTTTTTTGTTGATGAAGCATAGAGTTCCATGTTATACTAAACTTGAGTAAAATGTGCGAATAAAAGGGGAAAAAATAAAATCTCCTGCTTTCTTTTCATTTTCATGTCAATGGCACCTAGATGAAAATCCATTTACAAAATCCATTCAACCTCAGCCAACCATGGAAAGAACATGGATGGTAATACCCTCAACAAACTAAATAATGACAAAACTGTCATAATGACAAAGTTTGTTTTTGGTTCAAATGATTCATCTGATACCCTAACCAAGCAGTCTACATAATTCTTGACCCTCGTTATTACCTTTTTAAAAGTTGGGAGATTAATGAGTACGAACGATATTCTAAAAAGTAATGATTTAATTAGTATTACTCCATTATATTACATTACATTACTCCACAGTTAGAGTACTGGAGATCCTACTATCACACCTGAATCTTTTCAAATACTGCTGTCGCACGTCACTCCAGCCCCACCGTCTTTTCACTGCTTTGAATTCAAAATTTACTTTCTGACTCTGTGAACCGTCTTTTCCCAATTATTGGTTTTGCTTTTTGTGGTCTGATTTTTATGGGGGTTTTTTCATTTCGTTTTGGTTTTTGTGATTGCTTGTCTTACTTGTTGAAGCTTGATTGTATTTTTTCTAGCAGTTCTTTCAATTTCTAAAGATAATTGTAGTCAGACGTGCAATTTTGTGGAGTCATCAGGGGCATAGGGAACCTCTTTTTAGAAAGGTATATATCATCTTGATAAATAAACGATTTCAACAAAATAACAAAAAAGATAGAAACAAACTGTCATGGCATGTTCTAGGTGATAAAACGAGTCTTGTAGCTTTAATTTGGATCATCATTTGTATTTCTTCTTTCCCTCAGTCTCGTCGTTTTTCTTTCCTCTCTCTCTGTTTTCTTTTTTCTTCTGAACCCCTCTTCCCGTCTGCCTCCCCAGGTGTCCAAAGCGGCGGCGGACCTGATGAGTTACTGTGAGCAGCACGCTCGAAGCGACCCCCTGCTGGTTGGCGTACCCACCTCTGAAAACCCTTTCAAGGACAAGAAACCTTGTATCATCCTATAGCTTCATACGTGCATTTTTATTTTTTTGCCCTCACACACACACACACGCACGTACACACACACCCACACCCACACATGCACACAACAGATTCTCCTATTCATATAGGCTCACACATAAAAGTTGACTTTTGCTATCAAAATAGGTCCACACCCTTCCTCACACACAGTCGCTCCAAATTTAGCCACTCTGAAACAGTGCCACAATCCAGAACCACCACTAGGGGGCAGGTATCTTGTTCTCACAGCTTCTGAGATGAGTTAAGCATAGAGTATGGTCCAAAGTGCTTTGGTATTATTCCCATATGCTGGTGAATTAACAACCACTTGACTCGAAACAGGATTTCTGACATTGAACAACTGGCAGGAAGCCCATTTCTTTTCCGTCGCTGGTCATGAAACGAGGTGTCGGCTAAATGATGGGCAGCTGCTGCACAGGGAGGCAGTGGGAAGAAGCATGTGGGCAACACAAATAAGTGGTGGGCGCCAGTCCGACCGTGCCAAACACGACCCAGTGTCGCAGCGAAAAGCTCAATAAATGCTTAATCTTCTGCGGGAACCTTAAGATGAAAAACAGAATAAGACAATATGAGAGCTTTGTCTTTAACTAGAGTCTTTGCTTTGGTCAGACCATAGCATGTTCCCTCTTGTATCCGTATCAACAGACCTCTTCTCCACCTGCGGCCTCTCTGCGTCTGCCTCCAGCCTTTTTTGGCCAAGCCTCCAGCTGTGCCAACCTGTACAAAAAAAAAACACACAAAAAAAAATCCCGTCTCCAGATGCTGATCCGCTGTCGCTGGTTCCGCTGCGGCTCGAGATAGCTGCTGCCGTTGGTTGAGAGTCGATGACTTAGCCGACCTCCGATCTGGACCAATCAGAGGAACTCAGCGGACAGCTCAACAAAGAACTCAAGCTATTAACCGTGGACGTTTACTGATTTTATTTGTTTTGTTTTGGTTTGGGGTTTTTTCTCTTAAGAAATACTTAAGAACTCAATGTGCGTTTAGGTATTTTGTTGAAGCATTGCTTAACATTTAAGACAATACTGTACTTTTTTGTTCTTGTTTTACCTTAACGGAAAGGAGGCGTTACCAATGGCCGACCTGGTTCGGATCTTGGATCTCACCTCATAAGATCTTAGAGTCTCTACTGTACATTAAACCTTCGTGTGCTTTACTTTAAGTGGGAGCGAGGCCACAGACTGACCACTTTGGAGAATCCAACTGCAACAACGAAGAAAGTTCAAACTTGAACTTTTTCTGTGTTTTCAGCTCACATTTGCTGTTACACATAAAGACACATATAGGAAGTATTTTAGAAAGATAGAGATGTACGTTATTGAACAATCTGATGCCTCCAGTGACTTCAAATCCGGTCTGAACAGTCATATGAATTCATTTAACTTGAGTTCACCAGAATCCAGAGATCGGCTCTTGGATTCCCCCTTTCTGTGTCCTCTGCTCCTCCACCGCACTCCTCCAATCTAACAAAACCAAACTTGATTGTAAAACCTGAAAACGAAGAGGGAAGAAAATGGCATTAAGAGAAACAAGCTAAGTGTAAAAACTTTCTTTTAGACGTGCAGAAGTGATAAGTTGAAGAGTAGCTGTCTTAGCTTCTTATTTTTTATGTTACCTTCTTTCTATGGAGTCCATGAAAGCCGATCAGTTGAGTATTACTACCCTGTACAGTGTTTGTAAGATACAGAATCTAAACACAGAACTACCCCCGTCTGTGGATGTTGGGATTTTTAACACTGCTTCCCTTTTGTCTGTCAAAGATCATGTCCGTCTTCTCAGTTTTCTTTCAGTTTTCAAAGGCTTGCGTTAGCGGAGGTTGGTTTTAAGCCACAGCTAAAAACGCAGCAGTCAGGATTTTAACAAATAAAAACAAACAAAAATGTTGCATGGTTAAAGATGGAGTCTGTTAGGGGGATTAATCAACATCAGACCTCATTGCAGTGGCCAAAAAAACCAGCCTCCTGAGCCTTCTTCTAATATCAACGCTGCCATTTTTGGTTTGTCTTAAGTGGTACATTTTTTGGGGCAACAAGCAACACAAATGTCATACATCTATAATTTCAGAGAAGTGACACTAAACGGACTGAAACTGGACTTGATGCAAATTTGAGCAAAGCTGTTCAAAATTAGAGGGGTTCGGTCTGCGCAGCATTGTGATTTTAGTCGAGAGTTGGACACAGTTACAGAGCACGATTGTCTTAATTGTTGCTCCTCTGTTGCGATTCCCATGTGACCCAGTTGTGCCGCTGACTTCTGGAGGTTATGAGAGGCTCTCCTGGTCCATGCTTCCTCATGCGTGTCTTCTTGTATTTACATCAGTGTCGCACAGATCAGCATTTAAAAACAGACTACGCTGAAGGGAGTCAGATTGCGTTGGATTGTGTTTGCGTATTTGCTCACACTGAACGCTAAAATCACCAGTTAGCCTAATTTTACATCTTCTTGTAAAAGGCCTTGCTTCTTCTGCCTTTGGATTTCATTCAGAACAAAGAGAGCAGGCACTTTCAAAAGGATAAGACTTCAGGTTGGGGGTAGTGTGCATGTGTGTGTGGGTGGGGGAAGAATGTGGTCTTGGTGGTATTTAATTTAGTGGAGATGGAGTTGGGAAAAGACTTGTACTTGTTTGCATTTGCAGGAAAATTTGAAAGAATATTAGAGCAAGATGCCTTTTGTTATTAAAACCATGTTCATAAAAACATGGCAGTGTTACAACCCTGTGGTCCTGCAGTTCTAGGTCAGGGAAAGTCATGCAGCTTTAGCTAATATATGTAATATTTTGTTACATTCTCAAGGTTTCCATATAGAAAGACTTTTGACTCTTCAGTAACCTAATTTATTATAGGTTCCAATAGGGTTGCTATTCAGTCAGAAGCAAAATACACTGAGAATAGTTTTGTAAAACATGTACAATTTGACATATCATAATCTTATTCTCTGAAAATAGAGAGAATCCAATTTTTAAAAATTGATCCAAAGTTTGCTACTTTGAACTGATTCAAGCCGTCCTTTGTTCCTTTTCTGCTGCAGTCATTCACAACTACACGGCCAATCGAAACCATCTGCTTGAAAAGGCCGAAATTTTGCTTTACACTTCGCACCTGACATGCTTAACCAAGTCAAGAGTGCATAAGAGTTGTTGAATCTGTTAGGTTGCCATCTGGTGATCTGAAAATAGCATTGCAGGGAGCAGTCAATAAGCAGAAATGGAGAGAGACACAACCCAATTTTGTCTTTTTATAACTGGCAACCCAAGCTGCCCTGCATAGCAATTGTTGTCAAATCCCCCCTGGTTTCCCAGATTAACTCCCAGACAAATCAAACAGAATTAGCGCGTTTGACATCCACCTATTTATTAAGGTGTGCTTACTTCTCTCTCTCTCCATCCTAATAAAATTAGGATGGAAAAAAACTATCGCAAGTTAAAATTGTTGTGAAATTCACATACCTAAGCATATTCCACCGGACAAATGAGCTTGTCTACAACATATTTGAAACATTATTTACCAGTGAATGAAGTCAAAAGAATAAACCCTAGATTTTCAGAAAATTTCTATCAAATATCTTCAGTTTAAGGCTGCTGTCGACAGTTTGTTTATTAGCTTAAGGAGTGGAAACTGCTGTAACAAGAGCCACCATTCAGTATTTCTGTTGCTCATTATTTAAAGAAAATGTTTTATTTTGCTTCAACGTTTCTGATCAAGAAAGTGTAAAAGCTTTCGAAAGCTTGTGGGCTGCTTTTCCTATTGCAAGTTTTTTGATTTGTTTTTGGTTTAAAAGGCTTTTTGAATCCTTTTTAATATGACAAGCAGATGGGACATAGCTGTAGTAAAATAAATATAGTATACTCATATTTGGACAGAAAATAACTGATTATAAAAATGTCCAATTATTAATTAAAATCATTGAAATATTGCAGTGTTAATGGTTAAAAGGATGATTACACTGTATTGCTGGATTAAACAAATTGCAATATTTTTTTTAAATAAACAGCTACAGCTTAATACCAGAAAGTCGGTTCGAGATGTGGTAAGATAAATAAATAACATCTCTAGATTTTTTTATTTTAACAAATGGATATCGGGAAGGAGGATAAAACTTGCAGGGGGTTTTATTACAGAATAACATGAGCATGCATATCATACCACTATACACACTGTTGCCCTAAAAATGTCTGACAAATTTTATCTATTTATTTTTACATTCTTTTTTATATTTTTATCTTCAACCATTCCATCTCTTCCTGGGCTACAATCAAAGACGGCCGGCCTGAAATGCTGATTTTGCCGACAGTTTGTCTGATTGATTAGTTGTTAGTTTGCCTTATAGTGGCGTATATTGTGTTAATGCTGGTTGTGGAGTTATCAGATCAACAGAAAGAACAGTCCTAAAGTGGAGCACGTGGCTCATGGTGCCAATTCACAGAGTGAGCTCAACAAAAATTCATTTTTGGCCCCAGTGAGTCTGAGGCTCTTTTGCTGGTGGGCTGTCATATCAAGCATCACTCAGTTGGGTCTGAGTCCCATCTTTGTGTTCTGATCTCCTGTGTATGCATACAGTATATGTATCCTTTTTGCCTTGATTGATTCTGGAAAAAAAATATATATATTTTTTGTAACTGTTCTCTGATGTGCCATAACTCACGTTTTCTTGCGCACTGTTAATATTTTGTGGATATTGCTGTTAAAAAAATATTGAGAAGTAGATAACATTAATAAAAATATGATATAACACAACCACTGGACTCCATTGTGTTGACAGCTGCTGAAAGTTCCCATTTCACCTGTTACTTATGAATCCAGCCCATCATGTTTTGTTTTCTTGATTTATTCTGTCAGCAAAGCATTGTGGGGGTTTTTTTGTTTGTTTTTTTTCCTGCAGACTGCATAGATTTATAAAGCACATGCACACACATGTTCACTAGTTTAATAAGTACATGGTGTGCAGAGCAGAGATGGAATCACAATGTGCCCAGCTAGACCTGTGCATCATGTTCTTAGTCCTCCTTTAATCTCTTAAAAGCTCCAGATTCACAGTCACAGCTTTACTCAAAATTTCAAACCATTCTTTTCTTGTGGGCCAAGAGATTTGGACTGTGGGTCGAATCACAGCCTGTCAGAAGTCTGCCGCCGCCACCCGTTACGCCTCTGAGCAGCAGAGTGTAAACAAACGTGTGGTCCATGTGCCTGGGTGTTCCCCTTCTGTCCGACTGGTGGACGGACATGTGAGAGCGCAGGAAGAAACGGGGAGTAAAGCAGAGGGCACACAATGGAGATACGGTTCACGTATCTCCATTGTGCGTGCAGCCTTGAATTGCAATGAGTTAAAAGTATGTAGCAAAACAAGAACAATCAGAGAAATGATGAAGGTTTGACAAGGAGGCTTTTATCTTCTCAAGACTTCCTGCAGGGACAGTCAGTCTGCATCAGCTGGCTTCGCCTGTTTCTTTCAGCGTGGTTTCAGGCTCCACCCTGGAGTTATTCCTGTCGACTTATGTTCACTACAAAAGTAATGCTCGACAAAGACTTTGACCTGGCAGTGCAAGCATTTTTCCATGACTTCGGTGTCACCGTAAACAGTTGTGTAACCTGGCAGGCACCGAGAAGCACGCTCAACATTTCTTTTGAATGACCTGTCGTGGGTGTGGCCTGCCTGTCGCCCGATGGCTGCTAGATGGATGGATGAAAGGAAATCTTCTCAATTAATTCAATAATTTATTGACTTATTGCACAAGAGAATAGACCAGGAACAAATAACACAAACAATAAATTAAACTTTTCATATTGTTATAAAATAGGCAACGTTTGTGAAGGCACATTACATTACAGTCTTGATCAGATCATTCTGTATCTCCCTGAGACCAAAAAATAAACATCATCAGGTCCTGAGACCTTTTCTTTGTTTGTTTTTTTGCAGTTTTTTCATTCTGCAAAGCCAGCCAGATCCTTCTTACAGAGCAGTTTCAGTTTCCATAGTGATCACTCCTCCACAGGTTCAGCTGCTCTCTGCAAAAACGCTCACAGCACACCCAGGCGTTTCTAAAGAAAGACATTGTGCGTGCATACCATGTTTTCACGCACACCCTGTCTACGCAGAGACTCTCCCAACTCTGAACACTTAGGAATGTTGGCTGTACAGTAGTTTCACTATTACAACATTTCAGTCCAGATAGTAAACATACAAATCTTCCAGGTATGACCTGGGTGTGGACAAGATGCAGTCTGCTGCAACCCTCAGTGATTAATTTTTAAAAATGGTCCTTGAACATTGTGAGAGCCCAAACTGAAGCCCAGAATAGGTGCATAAGATTATGTTCCTGACAGAGAAGAAACTATCAGTCAGTCCAGTTTTCTTTCTTCACGTCTTGCAGAAATGTCCAACTGTTTTACAGCAACTTAAAGAATGTTTTTCGGCTCGTCCTGCCTTCAGTCTGGTTTCTAGGATTGAGTCCACTCAAGACTATTGCGGCTTGACCATTGAGTTCCTTTGTTTCTTTTGCATTTCAGCCCAGAAACTCCAGGGTCTCTATTCAGACCCTTCAGCGTTCCTGCAGAACCAGCTCAGGAACCCACTGGTCTAGGAGTCGACTCTCTTGGCAGTAAGTCCCAACTTCCAGTAGCCTGCAGTGGTCTACCTGAAGATTCTGCAAGGAAAATAAAAGAAAATGAATGACTAAGACTGTCATGTATTCAGGAGAATTCGATTTGAAGATGGCAAGAAATATTTCCAGTGGAGCGAAAAGCATCGGCCTTTCAGTGCAGAAGAAGTTTCTGTTTAAGGAATGGACCTGCATGAGATTCTCAAGGTTTAGCTGGAGTCTACCTGGAGACTAAAATTATCACAGGGCTCTAAGCAAAGCAAATGTGTAGGAACTTTCTTTTCAGTGCAGAGTAACAAGTGGGGGAGGGGTAATGCTGCCCTTTTCTGGATTTTGACATGGAGAATGCACCTTGACACCCGTAACCAGCTTGTCGTAACAAACCCACCGTGACCAGCATGCAGTGGAGGTCTCCGTTCTCGTCCTGGTTTCGGTTGGCGTCCGCTCCGCCCAGGAGCTGCCACAACCTCTGAACCCCGGAGACGCGCAGGATGTTGATGCCGTTGTCGCAGCAGAAGGACTGCAGCAGCGTGAAGTGGATCTGCAGCGCCACATCCTCCTCGTCGTCGGCCGCCAGAACGCACAGGACCACGCTGTCCGGATCTCTGGGGAAACCAAGGGAAGCGTTAGAGAGGGAGGAAAAACAACAAACACTTTGTAAGCCGCACGTTTGCAGCTGTCAGACTTGGGCAATGCCGCTGTCTGGAAATACAGCCGAGAAACACAATAATGCCCCGACGTAAGCCATAATTAACGGTTTCTACTCACGTATTGAGGAGCTTTGCTGACTCATAGATGCCAACAGTGAGGCAGTGCTGTTTCTGGGCAGTGACAAGCAACTCCTCCAGTGCCAAGCTTGCAGACTGCATCCTGAGGATTGGGACCGAACAGTTACTCATTTGAACACAGAAAGAGACAAAAAAACAACTTCAAAACTTGTCCCGTAAAAATGAAAGCGGTAAATATTTAGCCAGGCACTTTAATGCAGCAAGTACCTAATGCATAAAAAAATAGCATTTGTACTTTACTGTGAAGTATTTGTGCAGCATGCATGCATAAAATAACCCCAGTCAGTCCTTGTTGTGGAATAATAACATCGTCCATTGCAATACTGAGATGCATTTGGTTTCATTTCTACAGAAAGTTTCAAGTAATGGCTGCAGAGTCAAAGGACGCGAGACATTCCTGTCCAGAACAGGACGTCCCTGCAAAACTGAACGAGCCGATCGCGTCCAAACATTGCAAATTAAAACCTGACCTGTTCTCCACGGAGGCGAAACGTTCCTCGGGAATCATGTCTGCAAGTCAGAAAACAATCCCGGCCTGGTGAAAGCGTTGATCGCTCGGTAGTCTGAGGGAGTGAGATCTCAGCAGTACCGCTTGCAACGCAGCGTCTGCGGTGGTTGGCGAGGTTTGCGCAACTCGTCTTACAGACGGGGATCAGAGGAGGGCGGCGCCGAAACTTTAGAGCCTGCGCCATTGGCTGAAAGGGAAAAGCGACGTCCTCCTGTTCCCACGACGACGCCTGGGTTTTATTTTTGTTGTTAAACTGACTGGTGAAAAACTTTGAAGAAGAAGAAGAAAAATGACCGCCGTGTCATTCTCAAAGACGTCAGTGACCAAATGAACCATCGAGAGCAGTTGTGCAGCACATAAAGCCCCCTCACATTTTCCATAAGATGTTATGGAAACATTCCTTGTCAAATTATGACTGTCACCTCACCGGCTGACCAAAGTGAATAACTCTCTGCTCGTTTGTAATCACAGTGACCATGGTGAACATCCATGCATTTTTCACGAAATAAAATTAAATGAAATTTACTGCAAAAATGTGCATTTTTGCAAAATCTGAGGAGGTAGTGGTTGAGTGTGCGTGGGTTGTTTTGTATTTTGTGATAGGACCCAGAGCAAAGCTTCTCCAGTGGAATGTGTTTCATTGGACTTTGGAATTGTGCATAAAGAAATTGACACTGGTTCAGCTCATTTTCTTTACAGTTTATTTATATGGCAGTAATCCACATAAAGTGACACATCAAGGTACTTTGTTGGACAAACAGCTCTAATCCAGTCCAAGTCTAGAAATAAAGAACCAAATCAATTGCATAGGATTCAGTTGATAAGGGCTTTCAAAGTTAGCCCATCACTTTGCATTTACTTGTCAGCAATCCCCTCTAACCCCAAGCAAAGCTGTTAATCAGAACCCTCCCGATGGGTAAGAGCAGAAGCAATCCAAACTTTTCCACAATACAGTAACACATGAAGCTGTGTATCTCAAACAATCTTAGGTTCCTCTCGTGACACGACTCGGCGAGGATCGATGGATCTGTAGAGCTCTGGTCCACTGCTTCCATCCTGATCATCTGTAATCTGGTTTTCAAAGTAGCTGTCCGCGTAGTTGAGGATTTGCTCCAAGACCATGAACAGCAGGATGTCGGTGTTCTGATCCAGTTCCAGCTCCTCGCTGTAGTTTTTCACTGGCAGCACGTAGGACAGAGGAATGCCCAGGGAATCACTCAACTGGCGGGCCTGAAACGACAGGTTGACATTTCTAGATCTCCTTCATATCACAAGATGTTTTCCCGTAATTAGGTAAATATAGGCTTAAAGTGTGACCTTCTTCTGGATGTAAACACTGCGATAGACATTTTTCAAGTCCTTTGCCACTAGTGGACAGGCTTCATCCACTTTGGTCATCAACAAAATCTGAGGGATTCCTGGCAGGAAACAAGATTTAAAAAACATTGTGAGGTGTACTTTTTATGCTTGTGTGGATTGATTACAAGAAATCAGAGCTTCATCCTGGAAATGCTGGAGGAAATTTGTGTAAGCAAACGCATCTCATTAGTATCACCTAATGCATAACATGGCGCCTTACAAAACAATTAATCCTCCTTGAACGTTTCCCCGTTTTCTCAAGATAGAATGAAGAAGAGCAACACAAAATAATTGGGGTCAGGACTAAAAAATTTTGAATTTTGTCGCAAATAACAATCTGAAACTCACAATCCTGGAAGAAAACTAAAGACTTGAGACAATGGCTGACCCTAGACATGTGCCCAGAGTTAAAGTAGGATGTGTTAGATCCAGCATGGCAATGTTTTAAAATGGCCCAGTCAAAGTCCTGATCTAAATCCAACT